CCCAACAAATGTGTAATATCCTGAAGTTAATCGTCTGGCAATGACTGATCCAGCCCAATTCGCATCAATGAATGCCTCCATAATGAGATGTCCATGTTTTAAGAAATAAAGACCCTTTCCAGGAGAGGCTTTCAGGTATCTCAGGATTTTCATAACTGCCTCTAAGTGGGAATTTCTAAGAACATGCATAAACTGGCTAACTATGCTCACTGCAATGGCAATGTCTGGACGTGAGTGAGATAAGTATATGAGCTTATCCACAAGCCTTTGGTATCTCCCCCTGTCTACTGGCTCTCCCTCTGGATCCTCACCTAGTTTCTGGCCCGATTCTAGAGGTGTATTACACGGTCTACCTCCAAGCATTCCAGTTTCCTTTAGCAAGTCAAGTACATACTTTCTCTAGCATATGAAGATGCCCTCCTGGGACCGAGCTACTTCAATGTCCAAAAAATACTTCAAATTGCCTAAGTCTTTGATTTCAAATTCCTTGGCTAAGTATTCTTTCAAACAAGGAATTTCCTCAATATCATCTCCTGTCAAAACAATATCATCAACGTAAACAATAAGAGCTGTGGTCTTATCATGTGATGAGTGTTTCACAAACAAGGGGTGATCAGCTTGACTTTGCTTGAACCCATATTTAAGCATAGCTTGAGCAAACCTTTCAAACCAAGCCCTAGGAGACTGCTTTAGCCCATAAAGCGGCTTTCGGAGCCTGCATACTTTACCTTTGGACATAGCATCCACAAAACCATGCGAAGGAAGGCATTCTTCACATCAAACTGATGAAGTGGCCAATCCAAATTTGCAGCAAGAGTGAGTAAGATTCTCACGGAGTTCATCTTAGCAACCGGTGCAAATGTCTTTTGGTAATCTACCCTATAAGTCTGAGTAAAGCCCTTAGGAACCAGTCTTGCTTTGTACTGTTCTATGGAATCATCTGCTTTGTGTTTTACAGTGTACACCTACTTACACCCAACTGGATTTTTGCCTCTTGGTAACTCCACTAACTCCTAAGTGCCACTCTTGCTAAAAGCTCTCATCTCTTTCATCATGGCATGTTTCCATTTCGGAATAGAAATAGCATCCTGAAAATTGGTAGGTAGACTCACAGAAGACACTTTAGACAGAATAGCTTTATATGAAGAAGACAGATAGAATAAGAGACGTGATTAGTAATAGGATGATGAGTACATGACCTAACCCCCTTCCTATTAGCAATGGAAACATCAAGATCTGAAAAATCAAGAATAGGAGCACTAGAATCAAAATTACCTGGACTCTCAGAGGAGGGGGTGACTCTGGACACTCATCCGGAGAAGAAGTTGGCTGTAATTGAGGGAAAGTAGTCTCTCGTATCTAGGTGACATGATGTCTGTCCTTGTGTGTAACATAAACTTTGCCTGCTTCCTTTTCTTCAACAACTGCTGACTCATCATCCTCTATCTGTTCAATCACTGGCGAAAGTGGAATAGGAATCTCTTCATACCAAGACTCCTCCTGAAGGGATGACTGTGATACCGGGGAGGCCGGAAATTAAGGCTAAGACTCAAAGAAAGTGACATCCATGGAGACAAGCCATTTGCGAATGGGAGGATGATAACACTTGTAACCCTTTTTGGTGGCAGAATAACCTAGAAAAACACACTTAAGAGACTTAGGATCCAATTTACCACGAGTGGGTGAATGATTATAGACAAAGCAAACACAGCCAAAAGTCTTAGGAGAAATAGAGAACCCAGAAAAGGTAGACCCGAACAAAACTTGAAGAGGTGTTTGTTTTTTAAGGACTTGGGTAGGAAGACGATTAATCAAATAAGCGGCAGTGAGAACCACGTCCCCCCAATAGAATCGAGAAACCCGCATCTCGAAGGATAGACAGCGGGCAACATTAAGGAGATGGGGATTTTTGCGTTCTGCACCACCATTTTGTTGCGGGGTATTAGTGCATGAAGTCTGGTGAATAATGCCATGAGTGGCTAAGTAAGTGGCAAGACCAGAGTCAATATATTCCGCCCCATTATCAAAACGTAGAATTTGAACAACCGCCCCAAACTGCGTACGAACCATTTTATGGAAGTTTTGAAACACAGAAAACACCTCACTTTTATCTTTCATCAAATAGATCCAAGTGGCCGTGGAACAATCATCTATGAAGGTAACAAACCATTTTTGACCATTTAAAGACACAAAACAGGATGGACCCCATACATCAGAATAAATCAAAGAAAATGGAACTGAACTTTTATTAATAAAAAGAGCAAAAGAAACTCTGTGTTGTTTTCCAAGTTGACAAGACTTGCATTGAAAATCTGACACATTATTTTTCTCAAAAACAGACGGAAATAAATGTTTAAGTAATAAAAAGGAGGGATGTCCTAAGCGACGATGCCACAGCCAAATGTCGTCCTTGATGGATGGTAACTGAATAGATAAATGAGCCAGCTTGTCTGTCTGATCCGTAGAGACCATGTTCCTTTCTACCACTGTCAATCATTTTCCTTGTGATAAGTCCTAAAAAAGACAATGATCATGAAAAAAGCGTCACGCTACAATTTAAGTCACGGGTAATACGACTCAAAGATAAAAGATTAACACTAAAATTGGGAACATGGAGGACAGAGGACGAAGAAAGGGAAGAGGAGGCATGAATTAAACCTTTCCCTGACATAAACGAAATAGTACCATCAGCAATACGCAGTTTTTTCTAACCTGAGAAGGGGTTATACTCGGAAAATAAATTAGAAGAGCCAGACATATGATCAGAAGCACTAGAATCAATAATCCACAGTACAGTCGTATGAGATAGCAATGCATATGGGGAGGAAGCCAAGTTATCTGAATTGGCAAAGGAAGAAGAGGGTGCACCTGTAGCAAAAGTGGAGGCTCGACGGTCTAGCAAGTGGTGAAGAGCAATCTCAAAATCCGAGGCAAAGAATCCCGAAATATCAGCAGTAGGGAAGACAACTGGAGATGAAGATGGTGGCTCAACAGTATCTAAAAGATGTGCCCAAGCATTGGCCCCTCGGCCTCTAGACTGACCAGACCTACCCCTTCGAGTACCAGGACGGTCTCCTCGGCCACCAGAGGAAGTCTCATATAACTTCCAACAAGTCTCTCGTGTGTGTCGAGGTCGACGACAGAACTCACAGAACAGATTATCCGTGTCTGAGGAAGGACGAGAACCACGAGTATCACGAGAGGGTGCAGAAACCAAGGCCGAGCGACCAAGAGTAGCAGAAGGAAGCATAGCAGAGCGGCGACTCTCTTCATTCTGCACAAAAGTAAAGGCTTCCTGGAGAGAAAGAAGCACATCCATGCCAAGTATTCTGCTCTGAACAAGATCATACTCCACATTTAGGCCTTCCAAGAACTTGAAGACCCACTCTTGGGCCACAAACTTCCGGTAACCAGTAGAATCAATGGGACAGACAGGCTTGTAATCCTGAAGGTGATCAAGCCGCTTCCACCAATTGCTAAAGAAGGTAAAATATAGTCATCTCACCTTATACCGACCTTTCAATGGAGCGACGTAACTCGAAAACTTGGAATAAGTTCCCCTTCCAGGAGTAAGTGGTAGCCACAACCTTCCAAATATCCTGTGCAGTGTCCATAGATAGGTAGCTCCAATCTCTGGGACCATAGGATGTATCAACCAACCCATAATGAGAGAGTTGGTGATCTCCCACTGATCATAACTCGGGTCCGTCGTGTTAGGTGCCTGAATCCGGCTATCAACATACCCCATCTTCCCTCTGTTCTTCAAAAAAATAGTCAAACTCTGCGACCACGCTAGATAGTTCTGACCATTGAATAAAGAGGTGGTGATTTTAAGGCTAGGGTTGGGGTTATCAGTCATAGTAATATGTATAATGGAATTCTCACTGTTAGGTTTTTGAGAAGTAGTAGACACACTGGTAGAATCTGTCATGGATACTCGACTACCGAACCCTCAACAAAACTAGTGCTAATCACAAATCCGGAAGATGGTGAAGGCATACAGGCACAAGGACCTCGAAGAAAAATAAAGAATTAAAAACTCAGCAGCATTATTATTATTTTTATTTTATTTTTTTTACTGTATTGGTTTTTTTTTTTTTTTTTAAATGTTATTGAAAACAGAGAATAAAACCGAGAATAAGGGTACAGCACCGACCAAACAACGAGACTTTAGGTCAGCAAGAGCATACCAATCGATACAAAAGCCATCGAACTGGGCAAAGAGGTGATCAGATCAGAAGTAGTCTACGGGGACTGCCAGGAGGGTTGACAGTCCTAGAAGAGTACTCTAGGGCTGCCGACAGGCCTAGAGAAAGACAGAAGGTGAGGCGTGAAGTTGACCTAAGTACTGTTGATGAGCCGCGACCCCTAGAACAACATGGGTGTGGCCCGAAATCAGCCAAGGGAAGTCGGAATAGGGAGAAGAGGCACCGACTGGTGCTAGGGGGACAAGAGAGCTAATGACTGTAAAGAAGGTTGTCGACTGAGGCTGTGGTGGCTAATAGAGAATGAGGTGAGTTGGCTCTAATACCATGTAGGTTTATAGAAGAGAAAAGGATAGGGAATGAGTTAGACCTCATCCCCTTTTATATAGATAATAATGAGTAATTACAGGAGGGCCACAAGGCATAAATTATGGGCTAGCCCATTACATCCATTAAGGGAAAATAAAATCAAACCATATTATTTCCTATTTTAACATATATTATTTCCTATTCTAACATAATTTCCAAGAAAAACGTATTTTACACTTCCTTTCGGTTATAGTGCCACAATGGCCAACTAGATTAAAGTTTCTCATATTTGAGTATTTGAGTGTACACCATTAACTATTGATAAGAAACAAACTTCACAAAAGAAGAAAGAAAGAAATGATGAGAAATTAAATAAGAGATCTCCAAAAGAAACATGTGTGTAATTGATCCAAAAAGGGATCCAACTTGCAAACAAAAAAATAATAATAATAATAATACTGTAGTTGGTCTTGTAGCATCACCAACCTTTCAACTGGGGCCCAAGCAAGTGCTCTTATAGGAACTGTATCCGCACTGAAGCAAAGCAAAGGTCTCGTATCTGCATTTCAAAAGGTGCATTACATTGTTCAACTTTTTAATTTCATGCTATAAGTAACAGAGAAGCATTCAGCTGAAAGACCTCTCTTCCCAAATAGTTAAAACTTTATTTTCTATCATTTAGAGTTGCAGAATAGTAAACACAAACCAAATCCAGCTTTTACATGCAAACCACATCAACATAAAGAACAAACCACAAAATAATAAGTGATAGACACAATGTCACTACCTTCAGTTATACCATTCACAGAGAACTTCCACAAGGCAACCTGAATGCACAGAAAATTTTTCATTAATGATACTGAGAATGAATTTAAAGCTTTATTGCAGAAGGAATTGATGACTAGTGTCAATCAAATAAATAACAGGAAAACAGGAGTCCAAAACAATCCTCCCAGCATTTCTGGACTGCTTCTCGAGGACAATGCACAAAACCAATTCACCCATCTGACTTAGCCAATAGTAGCTAAAAGTTATACCAAAAGAAGCTTAACCTCATTATATATGCTGTTGCTTCCTCAACTGCAGCCAAGGATCACACTACATGGTTGGCAGCTTTATTTCTAGAAGTATTTTGTGGCAATGTGTTGGAAGCACTACAGCTATGTTATTGCATAACTGCAAGCTGAATCTCATTTTTTATTCAAAAAATGATCAAGGAATTCAAAGTTCAAGTTATGATTCAAAGAAAATGGTGTATACAACGATGCAGTGGAAAAGTAGCAGTCTCAATCTAATAGCTGCTGCAAAGATATCCTAAAAATAAAAAAAGAATTATTATAGTTAAGACAATAAATGGAAAATTATTCAGAGTGGTAAAAAATTATGAACTTCTTTACAGTTTGGTCAAAAGATTGACAACAGTAAGTTTTATTAATGGCCTCCCTCTCCACCACAACCACCGTCCTCTTCCCTCTGCAGCAACTGCCACAGCTGCCACCTCCCAAAGCAGGCCCCTTCCGTCTTCTGCCCTGGTTCAGTGACCAAGACAATCACCTCCCTCCCCCACCCCTCCCTGCACTTCCACCTCCATAGATACATACATGTTCCACTGCCATAGATGTGTGTGTGTGTGTGTGTGTGTGTGTCTGATAGGCAAGATTCAAAAGCATTAAAAATAAAGTATTAAATTGATAGGATGTATAGCAGTTTACAACACGACAAGAAAAATTATAAATTTAGAAATCCATCCACAATAACAGATCAATATAAAATAATCAATGGTTTCGAAATCCAGTGTATGGGGCAATGGGAATAATTGGGGAGGCAGAAGGGGCAGCAGCAGCAGCAGAGGGAGCGGAGGGAGAAGGGGTTATGGCCGCAGCTATGGGAGGGAACAATTGTTGCAGCTTAGGTTGTTGGAGGCAATGGGCAGTGGCAATGGTGGGTGAGGGAGACCACAAATAAAATGACATTTTTGCCCATGGAGATAATGAACAAAATGTCATTTTTACCCATGTCTTTTACCAATCTATAAATAAATTCCAAATATCAAGAATCAAGAATCAAGAAAAAATTTATGTACTTAATGGTCTCAATTATGAATGTTTTAATTGTAGTCATCCCAAAATCCTTAAAAACAAAAACAAAACAAAAGAACTAATAATTCTCCTTACAGCTAAGACTGCAACTTATAGAGAAGAAGTTGTAATGCAAACATTACCACTCCATCGTGACATCCAGCCAGAATAAAATCATGACATGATGTTGACCACTCCACCGTCAGGGGAATGCTGGGTAACAAAACAAAGCAAGTAAACAGGCAACACGTCAAATGAAGCAAATCACAAAATAAAAAGTTGTCAAACAACTCAAGTCATGACAAATCTACAAGATACAGAACCTAACAGAATTTGTCGTGGGGTAATTCTATTCACACACCACAGAAAATCTCAGTATACAAAATTTGTGTCGTTTGGATATAAATTTATGAACAAAGTCAAATGTTTGGACATAAATTTTCGAACAAAAATGAATTGTTTAGATATACATTCCGTTCAATAGTTTATATCTAAACAAGTACAAGACCATGTCATCTTCAAATGGAAGACTCATAAAGGGATTATTGTTACTTTGCCTAAGCCTGGGGGAAGAGAAACCTCATCATGACTTCAAGTCTAGGATAGTTTGTGCAGCAGGCGACGGGGGAAAATAGTATAAAAGTTACAAGTTCATCACCAGAAGTCCTCTTTGGCATACCAATTTCCATAACTTAGGACAAGACTCCAACATAGAACTAGCAGATTATGTCAATTTTCAATACTTAATACTTCAGAGGAAAGGATGCATTTCATTTCCCGTCAACAAACTTTCGAAGCATCTATAGAAAACATTCGTTTGACAACTCCAAATACCTCTGTCTGTCACCACACTTCAACTTTGAACATCTGAATATGGGCTCCAATTTTACGAAGCGAGGATCAGTTCCCTCTACTTCACAAGTAGAATAAATAAATTTCATTGTTTGAGGATGAGGAATCTCCCACCTGCAATGGTTAAGTAGGACCATGAGACTTATGCAAGAACAATGTTCACTTATGTTACAAATAAAAGCTAGACAAGCAAGCCATATTTCAATATCAATATGTGATATTAAGGATGAAACAACAATGTCAGAGAGCCTCAGTAAGAGGGTATCAACCAAGTAAGAAAACAAAAACACCATCATATCAGTCCAGATTCAAAAGTGGACAAGGACCAATATTTTGCATCATACGTCTCTCTTCATACCAATATTTTGCAATAAACCCCTACAGTTTCTTACATCTTCTCATAATGCCAAGTAGATTTATTAAAATTCTATTAAGGAGGCCCTAGTAAGTAAAAGGCACAAGAATCAATGATCTAGCATTCTTGGACTATTGTTAAGTTTCAGGTAACAAAATTAACCGTAAGCTGCTATAGGGAAAAAAATAATAGTGGCCAATTGATTTACACATCATCTGCAGATACAAATTTATATCTATTTGCCTTCTTTGTTATTTTATTCATGTTATACATTTAAACCAAGTCTTCTTGAAACTGTGACAGTGAACTAGCTATTCTGATTATAATGTGTTGTAAGTTACTATGTTTAATTATATTTGCTTAGCTCTTTTGAAAGAATACATTGTTTTATACAGAGTTACTGAATTTAGAGAATTATTTTCAATAAATTTCTTAATTTAAAAAAAAAAAATAGTACTATAACATTTTTTTCTTTTTGCAATTTGTCAATATATATGAAGCATGGGTACTTCGACAAAAATTCCATACCAGTACCGGGTACTTACCAGCATATAGTAGTTCATATGGTACTTTTGCATACCCAAATTTTTTCATCTTAATTTTTAGCGTATCCAGACGCACCTAATATATACCCAAGTCGTACCATACCTCAGTCGAAATAATATTTTCTTATACTACAGAGATAAAATTCTTTTCACTAGATTTCTTTTTTATTTCTAATTTTATGCTTAGCATGATTTTAAATTAAGTTATAATTTGTAAGTTATTTAATATAATGACATTTAATTTTAGTTTATACCTTTACTTTTGGCATTATATGTTAAGTGTAGATTAGATCTTAACAAATTAAATTACTTAATCAATTTTTGCATTGCTCTGAATTAAAAATAAATATTTTTTTGCAAATGTATCAAGCCGTACCTGTACCGTAATTTTTTAAAATTTTATCATATCGACATACCCATACCAGTACTCGCCTTCATCCCTGGAGGTGGAGAAACATAGAATTCAAACTAGAATTCACTTTAGGAGCTTAAGTTATTAACATATTACAAGGGGTAGTTCATATGGTAATGTTAGGTTGTAAGGCTAATAAAATGGCCTCAACAAAATTGAATATTTCTCTCATGCCAGTTATTTTAAGTAAACAAAAAGGGGCTCATCACTTGGATTCTTTTGGAAGAGGGGTACAGCATTGCTTGCCTAAACCAAACCAAACCAATCCTTAAGTTCCATCAATTGGGGTCGGCTGCATAAATCATTCTTCTCCACTCGACTCTATCCAAGGCCATTTCGTTAGACAAATTAAGAAGATTTATATCTCTATTTACTACACTAGTCTACGTCAATCTAGGTTTATCCCTTCTCCTAACACTACCATCTACCATCACTGTATCGCATATCTTCACTACTGTCTTCGTTGGTCTCCGTTGTATATGACCAAACCATCTCAATCTATTCTCTCTCAACTTATCTCCTATCGGTACTACTCCTACCCATTCTTGAATATACTCATTTCTAACTCTGTCTTTTCTATTCTTGTAACATATCCACCTTAGCATTCTCATCTCACCAACACTCATCTTATCTGCATGTTATTTCTTAGTTGCCCAACATTCCGTCCCATACAATATCGCTATTCTATTAGTCATTCTATAGAACTTCCCATTTTAGTCTAATGGATACTCGTTTATCGCACAGTACTTCAGACGCACTCCTCCACTTAAGCCACCCTGCCTTAATTTTGTGGCCTACATCCGCTCCAATCTCCCCAATCATTGTGATAACAGATCATAAATAATGAAAATGTTCACTCTTAGGCAGTTCTTGGTTCTCAATCTTCACTTCTCTTCTGCTTCCATTGTTAATGTTACTAAAATTACACTCCATATACTCTGTCTTAGTTCTACTTATTCTAAATCCTTTAGATTCAAATGCTTTTCTCTAAATCTCCAATTTAGTGTTAACCCGTTCACTAGTCTCATCTACTATCACGATATCATCGGCAAAAAACCATACACCATGGCACATCATCCTAAATATTGCACGTCAACTCATCCATAACTAAAGCGAAAAGATAACATGTTCAAAGAAAATCTCATGACAGCTGAACTACGTAAGAAGTACTCAAGCATATACTTAATGTGGTGGTTCTTGTAATAAGCAAGTGGTTGCTGAAGCCAAATAAGTTGCTCAATATAGTATGCAAGTGATCATATAAAATAACTTGTGGTTGCCTGCTTTGTAAGATTGGCTTTTATGGAAGGTAGAAGAAATAAGTGTCTTTGCTATTCGATAACCCCAACTTTTATGGAAGGTAGAAGAAATAAAAGTGTCTTTGCTATTCGATAACCCCAGTTTTCACCATCAATAGTCTACAATGATAAAGTAGGGAGATGCTCTCTCTCCATTTCATTTTAAGTTCACAAGCAATTTTCCAATGTTAGATCATTCATCATTTACTAAATGGACTAGGTTAACGGCATGCAAATAGAACTTTTTTTTTATTGGCACTGGAGTGTCCGGATCAAAATCCGACTAATTTCCGGGGGCGCACAGGCCCTCGGTAAGGAGTTTCCCCGCAAGTACATTACGGTTAATTCAAGGGTTTTCCCCCGTCCGAAGGTCGTAAGAAATTGTTAGCACCTAAGAGGTTTCGATCCCTGAACTTTGGAGGAAGCACACACCCAAGACCCAAGGCTGTAACAATCCCGGTTTCGATCCTTCTTTCATGTTTTGCCACTTCGATTGGGCCGGTCGGGGGTCAAGCTGCCCAGTCAGCTCGCGGGGGTTCAGGGGGCAGCGCCCCTTGGCGGGTCCTAGGGCAGCGCCCTGGCGGGATTGAGGGGCAGTGCCCCCAAAACAAAAATGCAAAATGCATTCGACGTTGCTTATCCGCTCGAGCGGCCATTTATGCGCTTAAGCGGAGAATGTTTGGTTTCAAAAATTTGACCTGTCTGCAAAAGTACTAGGTTAGTGTATTTGACGCTCGAGCAAACCATGTTATATCAGTTCGTGAATCTAATATTTCATATCACTTTTTCAGTCCTCTCTCTCTCTCTAAAACTCTCCAGAATTTCAAATCGGGAGCTTCTCTCTCTAGAAGTCATCTTCTCTCTTTGATTTCTCCAAATCCATTGGGATTTACACCTAAGTTCTTCACCAAAGTTGGTTATCATCTCGAGGGCTTCGTTGTGTGCGGTGAAAATCGAGTTTCGACACCGTTGATTTTGGGAGTTTCATCTCATTTCTTTTTCAAAACTTGAGGTAGGGATTTTCTTAGAGTTATATATATGTTTTTGCAAGATCTAGATGATTTTTGAAATCATCCTTTGATTAGCTTTGAAATATTGATTGTTGATTTCAAGAAGATGAGTGATTTTGAAAGAGAATTTAATTTGTTTTCCTTTTAAAATAGAAATTGAAAGTTTTAAACCATATTGATTGAAGAAACATGATTTCGGAGAGATTCTTCTAAATATTTTGGAGATGAATGGTTTTGGTGAGAAAACCTAGAAATTGGGTCTTTTCTTTGAAAGATGTTGAAAATCCTTGAAAGATGTCATATTTATTTTGTGTACCAAAGTAAATGGATGTTTTGAAAATTGTTTATTTATATATAAATGACGAATTTTGTGAAAAATAAAAAATAAAATAAAAAAAATGAGAAATGTTGTTTATTTTGAAAATTGTTGTTAAAATGTTGATTTAATCTTGAATTGACTAAATTGTTGAGATTGCTCAAAATGTCGGAATTACGTTATCCTCTTGAATGAATTGGATATAAAAGTATATATATATATATTCATCTTGTAGAATTGTGTTGAAAAGAGGATTGGAAATTTTGATCACAATGGTATATTATGTGGAACAATTGAATATGGAAGCAATGTCGCATTGCATTATTAAGCATACATTGACATTTCAATTCATTGGACTATGTTAAGTTTTAGAAATTTGCATTGAAAAAAGAATGTTGGGAAATGGGTTTTCAGGAAATGGTTTTGGGGTAAATATGGTGGTAAGTCTTGATAGGTGGTGTAGATGAAATTGTTTAAGTTGGCCTGAGTGTCCTCGGTGAAAGACCAGAAAGTCGCGCGGATAGGTGTCGAGCCTTCCGGTTAATACTGGTAAAAATGACAATTGGTAGTACTCGTATAGTCTACTTGCAGACACCGACCTAGGGATTACCAGAGTTGTATTTACCGCCCCCTTTAATTAAATTGATAAATTTTGAACAATTGAAGTTGCATAATATCATTGAGCATGATGGTTTTCAAAAGATGAAGATGTATTTTATTTTCAAAAAAGCATGGCATGGCACGTGCATTCATCTCTTGAGACTTGTATAAAATGTATATACTTTGTTAAGGATTTCATATTGGGCTTTATGCTCACCCTACCCGATTTTTGTGCAGGAAAAGACGTGGTGAATCCGCCTAATTGAGGGCGTGGAAATGTGTGTGTTGAAAGCACTAAAGTTCTCATTTGTTGTGATCCTATTTGTAAGCCAAGGGCTATGTATGTATGGGTTTGAATAATCATTTTGTGTACTGGGCTTAAGCCTTGGAAGATTGGAAACCCTTGGGGGTGCTTATTTGGTTATTTACTTCTTATTGAATCAATGTAATATCGCATGAGGAATTATTATTATTATGTAATGCAAGTATGAGAAGTTATATTTGGTTTTCCTTTAAGAGAGCCATGATTGTTGCATTATCATTTGGACTAGAAATTTGGGGCGTTACAAAGGCCTTGCCACCAGGCCAACCCCTTGGGCTTAATGCAGATAGAACTTGAATATTGTTAGAATTTATCATCACCTACCACCACTACCACCTCACCTACTCCACTAAACCTAACCCACTACACCACTACCACCATCCACTACACCTACATCTATATAAGGAACCATTTGTAATAGACAGAATACAACAACATATATCAATCAATAATACATCATTTTTTTAACAAATATAGCACAAGTGGTTGCACATCTTAGATTTCCAGAAAAGGATTTGGGGTTTGAGCTTATGGAGAAGCGTTGAACACCCGGTTGTGCTAACCTAACTTTCTAACCTGCTAAAACATCATACCTAGTGCTTAAGGTGAAAAGTTGAACACCTAATTTACTAACCTAACTTCCTAACCTACTAACATCCTACCTGGTGCCACAAAAAAGGATATGCAAATAGACAACAATGCGTACAGGCAAATTTGAAAAATAGAGAAACATCAAACTAAAGAAGTGAAAGAGGAATCTCACACTTCTAGAGCTCCACTTCCGAGCAAGACAGCAAGATAGCCCATTCTATGTTTGAAATCCATATCACAAGCATTAGAAGGCCGCCATTTCACATCCCATGCCACTTTTCCATTGTGAGCCAAGCATAACACAACTCTAGGCAAAGCAGCATCCTTGGGAATAAGACAACTAGCAACACTACTTTCCAGGGAACCATTTTTATGATCCTGTCCAGAGTTTAAGCATGCAATGGGATTCACTAAGGAAGATTCCCTGTTCTCATTCTGTGTCAATAAAGGCAGACCATCATGATGCATAAAATTATCTGCCCTTGACTTAGCATGCAACTTTGTGCTCTTGACTGATGATGCCAACACTGAATTATCTGCAGACACTCCTTGGCGGCAACCCTCCCATGTTCTACCAGAACCCTTTTTGGTAACATGCTCATGGGTATCTATGGCAACCATGCCGACAGACTCATTTATTGGCTTCTTCCAAGGTCTCCCTCTTGGCTTCTTTGGTTGAGATGATTTTTCAGAAATTTGAACAGCAAGAGCTTGCACATATTCATTATCGCCATCGAGATTATCTACAGACTCATTTATTGGCTTATTCCAAGATCTCCCTCTTGGCTTCTTTGGTTGAGATGAACTTTCAGAAAATTGAACAGCAAGAGGTTGCACATATTCATTATTGCCATCGAGATTATCTACTGACTCATTCATTGGCTTCTTCCTAGGTCTCCCTCTTGACTTCTTTGGTTGAGATGAATTTTCAGAAAATTGAACAGCAAGAGGTTGCACATATTCATTATTGCCATCGAGATTATCTACAGACTCATTTATTAGCTTCTTCCTAGGTATCCCTCTTGGCTTCTTTGGTTGAGATGAATTTTCAGAAAATTGAACAGCAAGAGCCTGCACATATTCATTATTGCCATCGAGATTATCAACAGGCTCATTTATTGGCTTCTTCCTAGGTATCCCTCTTGGCTTCTTTGGTTGAGATGAATTTTCAGAAAATTGAACAGCAAGAGGTTGCACATATTCATTATTGCCATCGAGATTATCTACAGACTCATTTATTGGCTTCTTCCTAGGTATCCCTCTTGGCTTCTTTGGTTGAGATGAATTTTCAGAAAATTGAACAGCAAGAGGTTGCACATATTCATTATTGCCATCGAGATTATCTACAGACTCATTTATTGGCTTCTTCCTAGGTCTCCCTCTTGGCTTCTTTGGTTGAGGTGATATGACCATTTCTGTTGTGCTTTTCCTAGAATTCTGCTTTGTCTTCTTTTCCATCTGAGGTACTTCTTCCTCTTTGGCACCAACATTTAAAATGCACCATATCTGAATGATGCCTCTGCCAATAAGTGGGGCACCAAGCTTGTGATGATAAGATTCAGGAGGATGAGCAGCAATAGCAATAAACTGAAAGGCCAATTAGCACTAAAAACAGTTAGATACACACTAAAACAAAAGAGTCAGCAAGTTTGGCACAAAAATTATACTTTGAATCATATACATAAAAGCATACATCAGAATACCAATAGAAATACTTCGGTAGAGTACTAAATTAAAAGTTAAGCAACTTATAAAAATTTTATTCATTTTGTTATTTTTTTTAGTATTGTTGATGTTGAAAAAAGCAAGCCACGGTACTACAACCATTTTAAAGAGAACCAGAGAAGGGTTGAAATATAGGACTTCCTTTCATGCTTCGTGATGCAGTGGTCAAATTCAAACTATGATGTAATATCAAACACAACATCAACTTTACAAACACAAGAAATAAAAAATAAGTACCTCACATTTAGTATGATGATCAGAATGTTGATGAACTCTAGGGCACCAATCCAACGCCCAAACGGAGCCTCCGACGTACATTACAAAGTCTTTGCTGCAACAAGATATAATGAGACAGTCTAATATTATATATAAAAAGCATAATACAGGCAACAAAAAATTAGAACATCCAGGCAGGTCTATAGTTTGAGTTTACTTCACAAACATCATATCCATGCTTATATAGAGGCAACACCAGATTTGGTGATGCTTTTTTCTTTTTTACTTTAATGAAGCTCTACTAGATTATCACTAGTTTATCTCAAGAAACCAATAACTTCTCTTAAAGGCCAACTACTCAAACAATAATATTTTACGACTGCATTTGGTTTAGTTTTGGAATTATGATTCTCTTTTTGGAGTTATGATTTGAGTGTGGAATTGTGAGTTGAGTTTTGAAAAGAGAAAATTTGTTTGGTTATGAGTTTTGAAAAGTGTTTTGAAAGGTGTTTTTGAATTTTGAATTTTGAATTTTGAATTTTGAAAATGACAAATTAGGTCTACCTGGTCGTCTGCTCAGACGTCCAGTCGGTTGACCGAAACAGTGATTTTTTTTTCTTCAATTGCAACCTATTATTTTCAAAAATAAAAAATAAAAAAATAACCAAAACTGGAAATTTTTTTTTTTTTTTTTTTTTTTTCGATCGCAACCTGTTATTTGAAAAAAAAAAAATATATATATATATATATGGTCGTTCAGCTGGTTGACCGAAACAGTGAAATTTTATTTTATTTTTTTTTTCAATCGCAACCTGTTATTTGAAAAATATATATATATATTTGTTTTAGATATTTTTTAAATATAGATATTATTTTTTTTAGATTTTTTATAAACATAATTTAACAATTCTATCACTAACCATCTTCAACACTATGACCCTGTTTGGTAGGGCTTATTTCCAGCTTATTTCAGCTTTTAGCTTAATTTAAGCTATTTTGATGTGTTTGGTTTAGCTTAACAATACAGCTTATAGCTTTTTGTAAGTCAAAAATCAACTTATTCTTTGAGTGGGGGAGGAGAAGCTTAATTTATGAGTCAGAAATCAGCTGATGTTCACAGTTATAAGCTATAAGCTGTTAAACTATAAGGTATAATCACTTTCCCACAGCTCTACCAAACGGGGCCTATATCATCAAAAGAGTTTTGAATTCAATTTTGTGTCGTATGTTTGGTTATGAGTTTTGAAATTAATTTTTGAATAGAGTTTTGTGTGATTTTGAATTGTGTGTTTGATTATGAATTTTGAAAAATGTTTTGAAAATTTTGCCTTTGGAATTATGATTCCAAAGGCAAACCAAACGGAGCCTACATTTTTTTCTCAATTGGGCAAAATTAAAAATAAGAATTTAAAACAAAAGGTACTTATTTAAACTCTCCAATTTTTCTTGAGATGGAAAGATGTATGATAAGTAAAAGGAGACACGTTATTGAAGAGAGTAGAAGATGTTTAAAGGAAATGTATAATATTTTAAAAAAATTAAAAATTAAATATATATTATGAAGGTGTGATACAATACACGTTTGATGTGTGTGAAACCCTCCTAGTCATCACAATATGCATAAAACCACAAAAGTACTTCAAAAAAGAATATATAAAACCTCAATGCTTTGTTATAGTCAAGTCAAATAGCTACAATCATGTTTGCTCTGCTACATCAGCAGAACAATTATATTCTTGTTGTTAATACGTATTTTTGTATTATATTAGTGCTTGAGAGTATAGTAGTCTTTTTTTCTGTAATTAGGGTATTATTGTTTAGTAAGTGTTCCTTTTGTAACATGTATTTTTTTATTAAGCAAAATTAGAGTTGTCTAAGAGCTTTTCTATTCCTTTCGTTGTGTAGTTAATCATTGTTAACATGTATAAAAGTTGGAGGTTCACAGCCTGCGTCGGAGTAATTGAAATCTTCATTGTTGATTGTTCCCTCTCTTTTATGTCGCATCTCTGTTTCTGGTAGGGCACAGTACCTTGCAAACTCCCTCTTTGTAACAGACCATCACGACCTCAGCATCTTAGCCGAAAACTCCAATCGACCCAACCCATGAGAAATCCTAATCAATCACATAGTGTCGTTGATCTCATCACCTCTCTCTGATTTCATTGGCAGGCCGACCTCAGGAAATTGAACAGCAAGAACTATGACTATGACTAGTCATGGCCCCCGCTTCATTGTCGACCTCTCTCTCTATCTCCCTCGAAAGCCTCGTAGAAGCTCTTCAAACAATTAGAGCCTCTTTTTTCTCAGCAAGACCCTCTGTTGAACTATCTGAAGCCCAACCAACCAATCTCCTCTTCTGACCTATTTGAACCAGTTCTTGGACCTTTTTTTCCTTTTCAACCGGTCAACAGTCACCATTATTTGTTGCTGACATGAACACAAGACACAATCGCCATCATCCACAACCAAACCCCTCTTCAAATAATATCAGTCCATCTTGTTGTTCTGATACATGGAACAAGAACAGGAACACAATACGCTACATGCTCTAAAATGTGATGCGACAATTTTCTTTTAAGAAAATATAAATTTTTTTCTTCAAATTAATCATGTAAAAACACATTTCTATGAGCATTATGGTTCATTTTAAAAATTGTCTTGCGAAAACTCCACTCTTCCTAGATTTTAGTACATTATATATATATATATATATTTTTCCTCTCCTGAGGAAAACCTTCGAGTAAATAACTAGAAAAAAAATAATCATAATTACTTCTGTTTACTAAATTGTTGTTTTGGAACAAAAATGTACCATTTCTCGAAACATGTGTTTCAAAACGTAAATCGCAAGGGTATTGTCATTTTCTAGTTACACTACTCTAGTCTCATTGGCCTCTATGTTCTTTGCAACAATAAGCAACCTAACCCAACACAACAACTCGAATTGACCCCTAGCTTTGATTGTTACATCTACTTTTGGAGACTATGACTGATGGAAATACATATTCTCTTCAAGCTATTTGCGTGAAATTAGTAGGTCACAACTACACTTATTGGGTATATGTAATAGAAAAAAAAAAATTATAGGTAAAAACATGTAAAATTATGTTTTTGGGTTGATAATATGCCTCCGGGTTTATCAAAAAGTGAGTAAGAGGCGCCGCATCAATGCCTGGATGCGGTGAAAATGGGCAAAGGTTTTCGTGTTTTTCTAGAAGAGCGCGAATAAATAAGCTAGTCCAAGACTACAGGTTTAGGGTGGACACATGGAATGTAGGAACTTTAACTAATAAGACCATGGAATTCGTAGATGTCATGATTAGGAAGAGAGTTAGTATAGCTTACTTACAAGAAACTAAACGGACGGATGAGAAAGCTAGACAAATAGAGGATACCGGTTTTAAACTATATTATAGTGACAAGGATAGATACAGGAATGGGGGAGGAATTATAGTTGTCAAGGGTCTTGTAGAAAATGTAGTTGTGGTCATTAAGAAATATGATAGGATTATGTTAGTTAAACTAGTTATTGGAGAGAATATAGTAAACGTTATTAGTGCATACGCCCCCCAAGTAGGATTAGATGATCAGACTAAGAGAGATTTTTTAGACCAAATGGATGAGGTATTACAAGAGATACCTAAAGGAGAGAACCTAGTTATAGATGGAGATTTCAACGGCCATGTAGGAATAGATAAACTAGGTTATGAGAGAGTGCATGGTGGGTATGGTTTTAGTGATAGAAATGAGGCTAGAGAGAGTATTTTAGATTTTGCGTTGACTTCTGACCTAGTAGTGGCCAATACTATGTATAAGAAGAGAGAAGAGTATTTGATAACCTTTAAGAGTGGGTCAATTAAGAGTCAAAGAGATTACTTTCTAGTAAGAAAAGTGGACTGTCTAAAATGCAGCAACTGTAAAGTGTTTCCTAGAAAGAGCCTGACATCTCAACATTGGATTTTGGTACTAGATTTATGCTTTAAAGGGCAATACCAAGCTAGGAAGTATATTGGGCGTCGTAGGACGAGATAGTAGGACCTAAAAGGGTATAAACTAGAAATATTTAAGAATAGAATGAATAAAGAAAGTACTTGAGATTTGGAAGATGATGCTAACACTATGTGGAACTTGATGGCTAATTGTATGAAGAGCATCTCAAGAGAAGTACGTAGAGAGTTGAAAGGAAGGGGACCCAACTCTAAGAAAACTTTGTGGTGGAGGGAGGAGGTTCAAGCAGTAGTAAAGACAAAAACAGAGTGCTTCAAAAAGTGGCAAAATGATAGAACTGAGACAAAACCTAAGAGCTATAAATTGGCTAATAAAGAGGTCAAAAAAGTAGTGAGAGAGGCTAGGTTGAAAGCCTATGATAACCTATACACTAGACTAAATAGTAAGGAGGGAGAAGAGAACATACAAACTTGTTAAGATAAGAGAGAGAAAAACTAGAGATTTTAATCAGGTTAAGTGCATCAAGAGTGAGCACCGGTCGTAGCCCTTTTGAAATCGTGTTAGGCATGCAACCAAGAAAGCCAATTGACTTGGTTCCTTCGCCTCATTTTGGTCGGCGTAGCATGGAAGCAAATGAATTTGCTAAGCACGTCAGAGCCATTCATGCTGATGTACATCGTAAAATCACTACTAGTAATGATAGCTACAAAAGTCAAGCAAATTTACGTCATCACCATGCTGAATGTGAAGTTGGAGATAAAGTTATGGTGCGTGTCCGACCTGAGCATTTTCCAACTAATAAGTATAAAAAGCCTTAATACCGAAGCGTTAGTCCGTATAAAATTCTTCGCAAGATTAATTCAAATGCCTACGTTTTGGAAATACCAGATGACATGGGAATTAGCAACATTTTTAATATTGTAGACCTAACCCTCTATCATGGTCATGTTGATATCTCGTCTACTAATGTTGCTACTACTCGCCTTCCTCCAGCTACTAACATTCGTGATGAAATAGAAAATGTTGTGGCTACTAGTGTTGTTGCAACTCGAAGTGGTGGATACCAAAAGAACTTGATGAAGTGGAAAAATTGTCAGATTGCACTTGAATTTCTAATGATGAATTTCAAAACATCGATCGAGATTTGTATGAGAAGTACCACTCTTT